AGCCAGTGCACGGCCCTGCACGCCCTGCTGGACAGAGAGGCCAACAGGGCCTGCCCGCGTCCCCTCCCCGCCCAGGACCCCGCCCGCCCGGCAGCCTGGAGTCACCAGCTGCAGGCTCCGGCTCCTTCAAAGCACAGAACGGACACGTCTCTGGGCTCCCTGGTGTGGTCGGCATCACATTCAGGGGTGGGGGGGCTTCCCCAGAGCAGGCCCTAGAGTCAGCTCAGGCTCCCGCTGGGGTCTGGGGTCTGAGCTCGGGGCTCCCCTCGGGGATGGGGGTCTGGGCCCGGGGCTCCCGCAGGGATGAGGGAGCAGGCTCACCTCCTTCAGGAACTCGGCACACCTCCCTGTGGGACAGGCCAGCCTGAGGTACTGGAGGTCGAATCCCCACCACAGTGCCCCTGCCCAGTCTGTGGCCTGAGAGGGAACTGTCCCCCCGGGCAGGCTCACTGCCGGGCCTGTCCAGTGGCTCAGAGCTGCCTGTGTGGCAGGAGCAGAGGCAGAAGGGCCACCCAGCTGCCCACAGCCCCCTCAGGCTGCTCCAGCCACACGTGATGGGAGGACTGAAGGATGGGCCCTCCCCTCAGGGACCAGCACCAGGCGGCCACAGAACTCACGGGCTGCAGCAGCTTCACGCAGGTCACTGTGGGTGACAATGAAGTACTGAGACACAGGCAGGGCCAGGCCTCGTGGTCTGAGAGGCCCTAACGCAGGCGCCACTCACGGTCTCGCTCGAGCAGGTGCACGTCGGACTCTGTGAACCCGCGCTCCTGGGCCACCTCCAAGAACCTCTTCATGACCTCTCCCTTGTCCTCCAGACTCCGGCCTGTGGCGAGCATGGCGGCTGGGCCCAGACCAGACACCCACGGCGCAGAGGCAGGGACCACAGAGGTGCCCTCCTCTCTGGCAGGGGCGCCAGGCTCCCTCCTGTCCCCATGCTGTCCCTCCAACGGGGGGAGTCCCACACAGGGCCGGGCAGAGGCACAGCCGTGGCGCCACCCCGACTAGCCCACCCCGGCTTACTATAGAGCTTCAAGACCCTCCAGGCCACGCCGCCTCTGTGGGAAGACAGGTCCAGGATGGCGTAGGCCTCGTAGTCCGTGGCTACAACCTGGACTTCCTTGTCCCCTGTGAGGCGAGCAGACTCTGCACGCCTGATGCCAAGAGTACTGCTGTGCCCCCCCCCCCCCGCCCA